GAAGGACTCCATTTACACCAGCTGCAGAAACATGCAGCGTCAAATAAAGGACGTGGGCCCACTACTACTACTACTACTACTACTACTACTACTACCACCACCACCACCACCACCACCACCACCACCACCACCACGACCACCACCACCACCAGCAACCTTGCTCTACTTCTGCTACTACAACTCTTCTTCTTCAGCTGCAACAACGATGACGACGACTGCTGCCGCCGTTAATCATTCCTATGAGCATGCTCTCGCGGGATTTGCTTGCTTTCTGTTCCCCAGAGAACCCAATACCCCCTAATTAAGGCATATAACTAAAATCATACTATTAAGGCCCCTATAATTTAGGGCATATTCCTTAACTAAGGGGTATTGGGTTCTCAGGGTCATGCCCTTCGAACTAAGGAATCTCGACAGCGAGACGCTGGGCACAGCCTTGGGAACGTTTTCAACGGCGTGATTGGTTCTGAAGATCTTTGCCAAGTCGCCTCTGAATAACGAACGTGTTCTCTAAAGTATCTAAAGCTTCTAGTTTGCTGAGGTGGGATTCCCTTTTTATTTCAGTGTTGTTTGAGAGCTTGCCGAACAGTCCTGGAATCCTTACTTCACGACCCCCGAACCCTTAGACCTCAAAACCCCAAATGGCCCCTTAAACCCAAGTCCAGGACCGTGAAGATGGTGGCTGAGGCCTACCCAGCTGCGCTCTTTCAGCCTGTGGGCGGCAAGGTTCGCGGCCTTGCTTCCATTGGTACACAGATGTTGGGATGGTTGTCGCTTTGGGGTGATGGTGGTGGTGAGGGCTCAGTGCTTTTTGGGCTTGAATCTGCAAGGAGGACTTCGATAACGATTCATGCAGCAAGGTTTTCATGTCCCTGCAGCTGCAAATCCTCGAAGAGCTTCTCCGAAGAATAGAGAAGGTACCAAGGTATATCTCCAGGGAACTCCCTAGATTCTGTATTGAATGAAACCACATTGAAGGTTCGCTTCGCTTGGAAATCCTCTTGCGATGCATTGTCGACTGGCGGTTTTGGGATCAACCCCCGAACAGGTTTCAGATGTCGTAATCCATCTCTAGGGATCCAGAGCGGTAATCATCCAGGTACAGTGAAACTGCAGTGAACTTCTAGGTTTGCTGCAAAGAGTGCTGCTGCGTCAACTTTTAGGGCCTGGAGTCCTTTTGTCGTCTTTGGACCACCCTTCTCCAACAGCACTAGGGGGTCTGGAGGCAGAGCAGATTTGAAACCTTAAACCCTAAACCCTAAACCATCCTAAACCCTAAACCGTGAGCAGATTTCCCAAAATTGAACCGGAAGAGCTGAAGCCACCCCCTAAACCACACATGTCACATGCCCTGCACGTCACGCTCTGCTCCAAAGCAGGCCAGACGGAAACTGCCTGTGAAATGCGCGAGCCACAGCGAGAAGACCGGGCGAATGTTGGAGGCACCTCAACTCGTAGCCTGGGTTTTGGACAAGATCTCTTGACAGACAGTACTCTGCAGCTTGCCAAGCAGGGCACATCGCCTAATATTTGCCTCGTTGGTCTATAGCTCTGCAGTCTTTTGCAGCATATTCGAGCACTGGTGTTGGTTTGTTGATCGTTTCCCTACTTCCCCTTAACCCATGGACACCAACTGCATGGCCTCCGAGCCAAGCTCCTGACCTTGAGCTGCAGGAGCTCATGTACCAGCACGTCTGCGACGTCTGTGACCAGGTCAGCACGGAGAAGATCGCGGATGTCTTGAACCTGATGAGGCCTTCGCAGCCGTTCTGGTTTCTTGTTAAGGGATTTAATTTAAGTTACCATAATAGGGATCTATAGTAAATAATATGGTTTCCTTATTATGGTAACTTGAATTAAATCCCTTAACAAGAACCCAGCGTTTCAGGTGCCATGTTTCAGACGGCAGTGACCGGAACTTTGGAACTGAGAACGGTCAGACTCGGGACCCACGCCTGCAGACTTACACAGGCCACATATGTCATGGCGATCACACCTAGTTCTGCATGTTCCCATGCTGCTGCATCTGCCCATCACAACCACCACGATGTCTCTGACCACCCCGTAACCCAGAGACTCCAATACCCCTTAATTAAGGAATATGCGTTAAGTCATATTCGGGATTCTACAATAATTCAAGGTATATTCCTTAATTAAGGGGTATTGGAGTCTCTGGGTAAAATCATCCCAATTAGAATACGGTTTGGGGGCTCATTATGCTAAAATTATCATAAGGAACCCCCGAAAAAGTATAGGTGCCGTAAAATGTGGGAGCCTTGTGTCCGGAAGTTTCTTGCAGCAGAAATAGGCCGCTGAAGCTGCAAAGAGCCCCCCAAGGGGCCAAGCGAAGACCTGGAGCCCAAGACAAGACTTTCCTTACAGGGTTAATATAGGGTTTAGGGTTTAGGGTTTAGGGTTTAGGGTTCATGGAGTTTTTTGGGTTCAGGGATCAAGAAGAGCAAAGCAAAGCAAAGCATCCGATAGCCAAGCCCGGGAGGATGAGTTCGAATGTTATGATACCCTGAAACCCCGAAAAACCTGGGAACCCCTACGGCCGTAAACCCCTGCGCCCTCCAGGCCTAAACCATCCTAAACCCCGAATCATGGTAATCCTGATGGACACGTAGCCCTTGCGCCTTCCATAGACCTTTTTGAACCCTTCCAGGACCCCCTTGAGGAAGCCCTGAAATGACCCAATGAAACCCTAAACCCTTAACCCTAAACCGTAAACCCTAAACCCTAACCCTCGAACGTGAAGGCTGGCCACGGAGTTCGAGAAGATCCGCACGATCAGCCCACGTGAGCTGGACAGGTGGGGGCAGCCTGTTGTTTGCAGGGGCCTTTTAGGGTTTTCGGGTTGGGACTTTACGTGGGAGCTTATGGTTCAGTGTTTGGGTTTTTTGGGGTGCCGGCTAGGCGGAGCAGCTGGCGGGAGGCAGTTGAGGTTGAAGCTGAGGCAGGCTTCCGACTGTCTCGGTGCAGTGCTTAGCTGATTGACGGTGTCTGCTTTAGTGCTTCTCTGTTTTTCGATTCAGGGTCTCAATCGAAGCAAGCGCACTCGTTGGTCGCAGCCCGCCAAGCTCCCCAAAGGCCGTGAAGACAGCTAAGCACCGGAGAAGTGGATTGAAGCCATAGTCGAAGAAAAAGGATGGCTCTGAAGCGCAAGCTTGAGCAACCAATCATAGCAGCCTCTAAAGGGCCCTTGGAGACAAAGCACATAAGGAACAACTTTGCTCACCAACCCCCCCTCCTTTGCGGCGACATTGCCTCAAACAGGTTTATGTTTAAGTTTAGGTGCTGTTTGTGGCTCCTACGATCTGTTGCGGCTAAGAAGCTTCATAACATGGCGTTCCTATGTTTCTTGCAGTTTCATCTGCAAGTGCAACAGCTAGCCAGCTGACGATTCTGAGTGCGGCTCAAACTGTTTAAATCTCTACTTCAAGAAGAATCCTAGGAAAGCCGTAGCCCGGCATGGAAAGAACCACCCCTACCTTGAGCTTGCCTTTATGTGCCCTACACGCAGGGGCCGAGCTACAGACATGGTTTCTCGGGCCTTCGACAAGGCCGCTGTTGCTGGCACTTGATGTTCAGCATGCTAACCGCGAGTAGAACCTGGACACCTGCAGCTCGTTTTTTTTTTTACCAGCACCTACAGTCAAGGACCAAAACCCATCGCCTTAGGGGCAACAGATCCCTTTTTTCTGGAGCCGAACATGATCCCAGAGAACCCAATACCCCTTAATTAAAGAATATACCTTAATTAAATCATAATATTAAAGCCCCTATAATTTAAGGTATATTCCTTAATTAAGGGGTATTGGGTTCTCTGGGATCCCCGAATTGACATCATGCCTGCCCTCGTCCGCATCCTCAGCATCCTCATCGCCATCATCGCTAGTATCACGATACACCGAGGCCTCTGGGAAAGGTTTCAAGGGACTCATCTTAGAGACTCGGTTCTCGGTCTTGAGACTCGAGGTTCACAGGGCCGTGGCTCTGTATGACCACTTGAGCCTTCCTGGACTTCTACAAGGTTGCAACAAGTCGTCGGTGCACTTTTATTGACAAACACCATAAGGCAAGGAACAGTGAAAGTCCAACCAGAAGACTTCAGTAGAAGGTCGTCAGGCTGCTCCTAACATAGAGAGCATATCCCTGACCCGAGACCTTACACCCTCTATCCCGTCGATTTCTAGGAGAGTGCTTAGCTCAGGTCATCCGGCACTTGAAAGATCAGAGCGAGGCCGTCGAGCGGCAATTTGCCGCCCTGCCTGAAGGGTTCGGCTTCCAGATGGTACGGTTGATGATAGAAATCCTGCATTACCCATAAGAAGGAATATACCAGAATTCCTATAGATTAGGGTCCATGAGGTAATGCAGGATTTAGATCATCAACAGTAGTATTCAGTTATGTAAGACAGGGCTCAGAAGAATGTGATTTCGTGAAGGAACATCTTGAAGGATAATAAGGAAGGTACTACAAAGCTTGTTAGCAAGATTCTATCGAACGTCAAGAAGCCTAAATCCCTTGAATACCGTCAGCATCTTATTCACTCTATATCCTTATGAGTCGTATTTCAAGTAGTGCAGCACCGGGTGCTCAGGACTCAAGAGGAGATCCCACGCGGGATCTTACCGTGATGACACCGTGGGTGATGTCGTGTCGGGTCCGTGATGATGTCATTTTTGCGACCGTGACGACCCTACCTTGAAACTTTATCCGTGGCCATGATGTGACCTAACCTGAGATCACCGAAGGGGTAGCCAGCCAGACCGAGCCGTGTCTGGAGCTCCGAACTGGATTCCTGTTTGTGAATTTGATCAAGTTACCATAGCAAGGAGCTCGTCAGAAAAATTGCCTTCCCGATCAAGAGCCAGTACAGAAGCCACCCATCCAACAAGCAAAGGCCATGCAAAAGAACATGATCTATATGGGTTTGATATGGTCTTCTAGGGCGTTTGTGAAAGCAGCCGTGGGGCTTGAGGGTTTAGGGTTTTGGGGTTCTTAGGGGCAACGGATGCAGGTGTTTGGTGCTTTCTGCCCGAACAGCTCAACCACCATCAACAGCTCAAGCTCTGAAGCCTTGACCCGAACCCCAAACCCCAAAAAAACCCAAAAACCTGAAACCCAAAGCCCTCAAGAATGACGGAAGCGCGCTCTCTTGCTGACTAAACCCTAAACCTTAACCCTAAACCCTGTTTCTCCGAGGTGGAGGAGGCCATCAGCTTCGCTGAGGCGAACCCTCGAGTGGATCTCGGCCGTGAGACGGGGACCAAAGTGGAGGTGCGCACTTTTTTGGGGTTGCTTAGGGTATATGGGGTTTAGGGTTCAGGGTTTAGGGGTTAGAACTTACAGGTTAGGATTTAGGCTGCAGTTCCCTAAAACCGGAAAGGGCTTTCGGGAAATCTGGAACCCTGAACCCCGAAACAGATTCAAGACCTTTGGACCTTTCGTGCTTAAACCTTATACTCGACATTGAACATTATACCTAGAGGGTCATACCCTACCCATTTTTAAAGGTACCTAGTCTTATTGTTAGGATCTGTTATGTAGAAAAGTGGATACCCAAAAAAAAGGGTAGGTTATGAGCCTACAAGTACTCTAAACCAGCCTGAACCTTACGCATGCTCCAAACCCTAAACCCTAAACCCCAAACTCTAAACCCCAAGCCCTAAGCTCTAAACCCCAACCCTAAGCTCTAAACCCTATAAACGACCTTAGCCCAAAAAATATTCTGCCCAAGTCTGAAGCCCAAAGACAATCAAAGCGCGACGCGCTAAATTTCAGGGTTTAGGGTTTGGGGCTTGAGGGGCTTTAGGGTTTGGGGGTTTTAGGGTTTAAGAGTTTAGAGGTTTAGAGGTTTAGAGGTTTATGTTTGGGGTTTTAGGGTTTAAGGGTTTAGAGGTTTAGGGTTTTTAGGGTTTAGGGCATCCGAACCCCACGCCCGAAATCCTAAGCCCCCTGTCCTAAACCCGACAAGCCTTGCGTTCGTCCGGTAGAAGATTGTGCCGCTTCGGCTCCGAGTCTTTATGGTTTTTGAGAAGGGTTCTCGGGCTTGAGGTTTAGGGTTGAGGGTTGGCAGGTGCTGCATCACGAAGTTTACTTCGAGCCGCAACAGACCGCCCTGCAGTCCTCGAAGTCATCGCCAGGTCCAGTCCATCAGCAAGATGGGCGAAGTGCTGAAGAGCGCCCTTTGTCCGAGTTCATCATGGATGAACCGCAAGTAAAGTCTGCAAGATTCATGGATGATATTCTTGGAGCGTTCAGTCCATCCTCCAGCATGCTGATCCGAATTGAGCTTTCAACCAACAAAGCTCAAAATCAAAATTATTTACTTCGAACATCCCTACCCTACACATAATGTATTGGGGGCCACACCACTGACTGGCTTTACGGTCGTAGGGGCCCCGGTCACGTAACAAAGCACAAGTATTCGATTCAGGTCATTCGACGACCAATGGGGTCACACCACCGACTGGCGATACGGACGTGGGGTCCCCGTACACCTAACAACACACGTGTTCGATTCAGGTCGGGACGATCCATGGGGTCACTGGGACCGGCGTTGGTCCCCGTACACAGAACAAAACACAAGTGTTCGACTCAGGTCATTCGACGACCCATGCATGGGGTCACACACTGACTGGCGTTACGGATGTGGGGTCCCCGACACGTACCAATACACCTCCTGTTCGATTCAGGTCAGTCGACGATCCATGGGGCCACACCACTGACTGGCGTTAAGGTCCTGTCCCCGGGTTGAGCACTCCAGAGAGTCTCACGGTGGTCTTCGGGGTTGTTCACTCCAAGCCGTCTCACGGTAGTCTCTGGAGTTGGGCACTCCAAGCCGTCTCACGGTCGTCTCTGATTTGGGCACTCCAGGGAGTCTCACGGTAGTTTTCGACTTTGGGCACTCCAGGAAATCTGACGGTAGTCTTTGGGGTTGGGCACTCCATGGAGTCTCACGGTAGTCTCTGGGGTTGGGCACTCCAGGGTGTCTCGCGGTAGTCTGTGGGGTTGTGCACTCCAGGAAATCTGACGGTAGTCTTTGGGGTTGGGCACTCCAGGGAGTCTCAAGGTAGTTTCTGGGGGTGGGCACTCCAGCCAGTCCTCTGGAGGTAGTCTCAACGGGCGAGGAGCGGACAGGAGTCATAGCTGACTTTAAATCTAACAACCCCACAACGAGGGTGGGGAACAAAAGAGAGCAACACGGTCAAAGTTCAAGAATTGAAGCCCTGCGCCACAGCGAGTTATAAGCCTGAAAAGCCCACAAGCATGTGACCGGAATCGGCCTTCCTGCCCCCTGATTAACGGCGATCTCGTTAACCAGAAAGCAGACAACAACAAGAATAAGAGCGACGACCACGACGTCCACGACCACAAATACAACAAAAACCGACGATACTATTAATGCTGCTAATTACTGCTTTTGCCCCCACTACCACTACCACAATGGTTACTAGAACCAGCTCTAAGGATTTCTGGGAGCTCTTGAAGTTGGTGAACAGCGGCAAGGAGACCAAGGAGGAGCTTTGCCGGGAGCGGAGTCATATAGCAACCCTTCTAGCGCCTTGCATAGTCTGCGTAACCTGAAACCGTAGCCCCTAGGGCTGATGCCTTTCACAACAATCGGAAAGAGGTAGGTACGACTGCTGCTTCGCACCATTGGACTATTTAATGGCAGGGTTGTTCAGAATATCAAGCTGAGTATGGTGATCTTGGCAATGACAAAACTCTCAAGAACAACAGCAACCACAGCCAGCACCAGCACCAGCAGCAGGAGCAGCAGCGGCCGCCGAGGCAGCAACACCAGCAGCAGCAGCAGATCTGTCGCCATCATTACCATTGATGGTGCCATCATCGCCAGTTTCACCAGCATCTCGCTAGAACCATGGCCTCCGAGCCTTGTTTGAGGAGGGTGACGAGGAGACGGCAAAGGCAGTCAACGACCTGATCAAAGTGCCGCTGAACTCAGACCCGCTCAGATCCACAAGAGGGAAATGGGTGGCATTCAGGTGTTTCAGGGCAGAGCTCCCATTGATGGTTCGGATTGTCCTGGCTGTGAGATTCGCTCACACTGAAAGTTGGGTCTCCATCACACACTTCGCAGCCTGGTTGAGCTATTCCTTCACAATGGGTTAAAGGGTTAAAGGGTGTGTTCCGGTCTTGCGATGCAAGCATACCTCGGAAGCATTTTCCAGCAGGGACCCGGTTTTGCGTTTGAGTGAGCATGAGCCTCTATCTTAGCCTCTATCTTAGCAGCCAAGATTTCCACTGTAATTGCAAAACTTCTAGTATCCAGCACGTCGAAAACCTCGTGTTCCTTCCTTCGGCCCTTACAGCAACTCCTTTGAGGCTCTTGCCTATCGGATGTCGAGACTTGGGGCCTCCAAGCCCCTTCCGCGCCTCGAGAACCTAAGGATCCCAAACCGGTGCGTAAGGTTGAGCCGAAAAGAGAACAGATGCACCACAAGACTGCAATGCCATGTAACCACAATATTCCACTAGTAAATCGAAGATATACTGTATCATATTACTACGTGAAAGCGCCCTATGCCCCTTGAGAGCGTACGACATAGGGGTTCAGTAAGTTCAACTGCACGCCATGAAGCTATCAGTATCAGTATCACCTTCAAGACATGCGAGGATCCATGCAAGCATGGATGCGCCAACCGATTTCCGAGATGTTGACATACATCGCAGTTCCGCTAACCCTAAAACCCAAACACCTCAAACCCTAAACCACAAAGAATCCTAAACCCTAAAAACTTTCTTTCGATTTCCAGAACAGAAAGCGGCCTCAGAACACTCAGGCCGGAGTTAGAAGAGCTTCTGACCCAGGAGATCGCCGCGAGGTCATGGGGCGGCCGTTCTTTTCTGCGGGATGAGGGCCAAGTATGGTGATTTTTACCGGGTGATCTATGGGATTATCTAGAGTGCTGTATTGCGATGTTATGGTGCTTTATGGTGTTTTTTTTTATCACGGGGTGGTTTCAAAAGGGCTCGGATATGGTCATGTTTATAGGGATTTTTTGTAGGGTTTGTTTGGTGATTCTGTACAAAGTTTCCATGGGGTTCCCTCTAGGTTCGTTGACTTAGGAATCGCCTCCGCGGGTCTTTTCGACAAGGATGTCCCTTGCTTAAGGTCTGCATTGAAAGGTTTCGGGGTTTAGGTTTGGGGGATCGGTGTTCAGTTTCGGGGGTGCTTTGGGTTTTGCGTCCAGAGACGTAAATTCGATTTTTGCTTTCGGACACTCGGATTCAGTTGCAAGGTTCCGGCTTATGGGCCAATGAAGTAAAGAAGTTTGATGACGTTGTATCAGGTTTCGGACATGCGTAAGGGTGTAGGGATGCAGGCCGGGCAGGTTTAGATTTCGGGAGGTCATGTCGTCATGTCGTATGGCTTTCGGGACTGTAACCGCTGTAGCCATTGCATCCACGGCTTTCAACATTGGATGCCTCACACTGGTCCCGAAGGGCGGGGATTCTTGCGATGACAGACAGCACAATCACCAAGACGACCCATGATGGTTTATGGAGGCTTCTCATAGTGGTAACTACACTCGGTGCGGTATTGATATTGCTAGTACGAATGATAGCAGGGACGGCAGCGTTTCGAGCCCAAACAAAGCCTAAGCCCCTAAACCCTAAACCCTAAACCCTAAACCCTAAACCTTAAATGAAGCATGCCGTGGCTTCGATGCGTTAGGCTGAAATGGGCAGCGGCGGCTTGTGACTCTGGCGAGGCAAGAGAACTGGCTGGTGGAAGGGTCCAGCATTTCGGCGTGTGGTGTTCAAGGCTTTGTTTGAAGGGTTTAGATGGGGTTCATTTAGGTATGCGAGGGCCATTCGGCTTTCTAAAGGGTCGAGAAAGTTCTAGCTTCTATTGGGGATTTAGGGGGTGAGGTCACGCAGACGGAACATTGCATTATACCGTACTGTGTTCTCTCATTCTATCCTGCTTTATTTAGTGTTATCCTATAACATATAATAAGAAGTTATGCCCTATGATATTATGTCATATGATGTTGTGTTATGTGGCATTGTTTTGTTACTATATTGCTCTTCTTACTATACTGTGCTGTACTATACTTTTCGAAGAGTGTCTTCAGCAGGATCCCGAAACCCTGCCGATCCTGAGAGTCCAAGGATCCCCCCAGCCTCAACTCACTGAGCAGAAGACACCTCAGCTTTTAAGGGCCTCGATTTAACGGGTTGTGCAAGAGGTTTATAGGGTTTTTTTTAAAAAGGCCTCTAGAAAGGGTTTGTGGGGTAGAGGAGTGGGGCTCGGGGGGTATGTTTTCTATATGTATAGATTAGTATTGATCGCTCCGGGCCTCTATGCTGAAATAAAATCTGAGAGTACTTTGCGTTTTTGTATGTGGCTTCGGTTGGCCGAGCAGCAAGAAGTGTGTTAGCCATTAGCTCGTCGGTTCTAGGTCACAGCTACCATGGGGATGAGCTTTCAGTCTTGATCTAAGTTCTGTGCAGCAAAGCCAAGTGTCGCACGACTCCTCGGGCATCTTTTCAATATGAGTGGTGCTCCAAAGTAAGCCTCGGGCTCAAGCGTACTCATAGGAAGGATCCCGCTATGTAGGGTCGGCTTTATTCGGGACCCTTTCTTGCTTGAAATCCCGCAGGATTCCGTCACTGACAAGCTGAAGACCTCAGATGCGGTCAGGCACACAGGGTTCAAGTCAAAGCTTACGGTAGTAGTGGTCGTTGTGCTGATCCTGAACACAGCTTTTTGTGACCTTGGAATTTCGTTGCATGCAACCCCGTTGCTAATCCAGAGAGGCATGCAGAATTCCAGGTATGCCCTTTTCGTGCTGGCTGGATTGATCTCCATCTCCAAGAAGCGCACGAGCGCGGAGGAGTCCGACGATGAAGCGAGGAAACTCGGCAAGAAAACACGAGCCGTTGCTTTCAACCTACTGTACTACGGTGAGGATCAAGACTCCAAGAGAAGAAACCCACAGAGGCCGGAAGCTGCAGCAAGTTTGGCTGCCACGGCACTGGAGACTTCCGGCGAGGACTTGGGGAAGGTGAGTTTTGCCAAAAACGTGTCAGATCAAGGGCTGCACGTGGTCCTACGAAAACCGATCTCGATGTGAGGCGCGGTTACTATGGTAACTATGAATAAGAGGGCCTTGCATCGGGTTTCAGTTGGGCATTAGAGGTCATGGCTCCGAAACGGGTCCTTAGGAACCATGCTGGCAAGCAATGCTTAAAGTGTCGAGATGTTGACATTTTGGAGACTCCTCCTTCGTTTCGGGTGCGAACTGCAGAACACGCTCGACTACACTTGCAGATGCGTCTTTGCTTTCTTGAGCAGTATAAAGTGACCCTAACAGAGACCCTAGAAATGCGGAAGGATCCTTAGCATGGCTTGAGCGTTCAATTGATGTGACTTTCTCTCTTCTGCCAGCAGCAGCCTAGCCACCTGAAAAACGTCTTCAATGGGTTCTTTTCCTTTTGCTCCTGCATAAAGCAAAGCGGTCAGTTGACCTTCCTTGTTAATCCACTGTTTTAGACTGCTTGACTGCTTGGTCAGGCTCTAGGTTCGTAGCGCTTTCAAAGCTCGCCCGTGTCTGAATCGGTAAGGTGTGATCCAGAGCAACATCCCAAGTATTTTGCAAAAAAGACCAGTCCATTCCCGAAACCCCCATGAACCTTCACCCCAGACTCCTAAACCCTAAACCCTAAACCCCAAACCCCAAAACCCCAAAGCCCCAAAGCCCCAAAACCCCAAACTCCTAAACCCGAAACCCAAGCACCAGTGGCACAGGTTGCCGCTTGGTACTGCAAAGAGCTGCAGCTTCCAGAAGCTTGGAATGTCATCGGCCTCCTGCGAGAAGGCCGAGAGCTTCCCAGAGACTCCAATACCCCTTAATTAAGGAAATTTAGGGTTTAGGGTTTAGGGTTTAGGGTTTAGGGTTTAGGGTTTAGGAATATACCTAAAATTATAGTAGGATCCCTAATATGATTTAAGGTATATTCCTTAATTAAGGGGTATTGGAGTCTCTGGGTTGCTTCAAAGTTGGAATCTGCAAGGATGCAGCGTTTTAGGGTCGCATATACTATGGTCTGCGCTAGCATACCCTAATATACTATAGCATACTACGTAGTATATGCTAGTATGAACCTACTCTAGTTTACAGTGATGTGCTGCGCTCTACGATGAGTCGAGGTTCTCCGCGCTCGAACCCCCGGGTTCCACTGGGCTTTCAGAAGGCGTAGGGGCTTTAGGTGGTCTCATGAGGGCTTCCTAGGGTTTCATAGAAGGGCTCAGGGTTTCATACGAATTCTTCGAAGGGTTCTTGTTTCAATTCTTATAAGGGTTCGTTCTGTGAGGGATGTAGGGATTTTGAGAATCATGGATTCTGTAATCATGTCTCATTTTAGTCCCTATAAACACATAGCACATGTGTCCCAAGAACTTTTTCGAATAATTCAGACCCCTACATTCTGCCGCAAACCCACATGCACTGGAAACCCACCATGGCATCGAAGCCCCACTATATATCCCAAAGTATCAAATACTTGACATGAGTGAGGACCGAAGATCCTGAAACATCAGAAACCCCGATCTTCTTGGAAGCACCGAAGAAATCCTATACCAATCCCTTAAGCATGACCCTCTGAGTTTTAAGAAGTTCCCATTGCAGGTCTTTCAGGGGGTGGCCTCACGGACATCCTTTTCTCCGGTGGAGACCTAGTCATCAAGACACACGTCTCGAAGGGTTGCAGGGTCTTTGATTCACGGTTTTTGAGGGTTTGGGCTTCCGGAGTTCTAGGGCTCAAGACTGAGAGGTTGAATCAGAGGTTTAGGATTGCGCCGGAATGTTGGCGTTTGGGTATGCCGGTGCGCTTTTTGCAACTTCACTGCACAAAGCCTGGAAACATGTGAGCACCTTTTGTCTCATCTTTAGGACAACAGAAGGCGTTTGCCTCCGGGCCTGTCGCTACCGGCATAACTTTCATCCAACTCGGGAGAACAAGTTTCAAGGTTGCTAGCCTGTTGTCATGTATTCGGGCCCCTTTGACCAGATCAAGCAAGAAGCACCTGGGCACTCTCGCTCTCGGCGTAGCCAATGTGATCGAAGGATAGGCTCATTCGAAGATCGTGGCCTTAGTTGGCACGTACTAGGACTCATGCTATGTCTGCTGAGTCATAGTAGACTCTGCTTTCTCTCTCTCTCGCCTTCTTCCGACGGCACTTTTTCGTCTGAGCGCCTCTCCACGCAGTAGGGTAGGAAGTTCGAGTATTTACCGTCGCCCCGATCGCTGATGTAGGGGAGGGAGTACTAGGAAGACAAAGCCACATTTTGCAATGGGATTTTGTGATTTAAGCCGTTTCCTGGATCCCAGCTCCATGCTTAATCTGCGGAAAGTTAATCCAGCAGCGCGACATGGAAGCACGTCCACGGCCAGCATACGGCTTTTCGTCAAGCCGGCATATGAGCAGCCTGCACAAGCCCTGCCAAACAGTAAATCTCCTGCCAACCCGGTGCCTATGACTGCAGACATCGCCGCCTTTTGCCAAGGAAAGAGGTGCCCAAGGACCACGTTTGGTTCCAGTGGGCCGAAGGCCCGACCAGCTCTTTCCACTTCGTAGCATGCGATGATCCTGCATGTCTTGTTCAGTGTCTTCTTCTCCAACCCTTGGCATTCCGAGTGTGGACCAATCTAGAACTCTCGAGCGTTCTGTGACCAGGATTTGGTCCGTCCTGCATCCACGTGGTCGCGACGATGATGCTGGTGATGAAGAAGATGAAGATGATGATGATGATGATGATGATGATGATGACGATCAAGATTTCGGTTTTACGAGTGCTGTACAAAGGAGGGCCCGTCAGTCTACAAAAGATCCAAGTCTACATTTGGCGCAGATGGCAAAGAGACGTTGACTTTTGGCTTTTCAAAGCGAAGTCTGTGGAGCTCTCAGGATTGCACATAGGCCGATGATGGCAGGATGCTTTCAGTGAGAGCCTGGCAGCCTATCAGGTTGCCACCCGAAATGCAAATCCATGCCATCCTGCATTGCTAAGTTCCGCAGGCCTTTTCGATGCAACGTTCCTCCACATCTACACCCGGGACCGTCACGGCGAGAATGTTCCTGATGCCCTGCGTGTCAAAGACATGCAACAGGCGAAACTGGTCGGTGGTTGTTTTTTTCGGATGTCTCGAATACAATCAGCCCGGGAGATTCCATGATTTTGGTCCAAAGTTCCTTATGCCGGACCCCTGCTATATTTTCAGGAAGAATTCCCATCTAGGCATGTTGGAGTCCGGCCCTTCAGCCCATCCGACTCACAGTGTTCCTTCCTTGGTCCGCAACTTCTGAAATCATTCGAACTGCAAAGATGCAGAGTTCTCGGGTTCTGGGTTCTCGAGCCCACCACAGCAAGGCCCGAGCGCACCAATTAGCGGCAGGGCTAAACTGAAAACTGGGCTCTTGCAGGTTGTAGTGTCCTCATTGGGAGAATTCGCAGCCGGGCTCGCTGGGAGGTGTTTAACTGCGGCAGCTGGGGAGAGTACGCGCGGCGGCGACAGAGCGTGCAGGAGGAGCTTGGATTGTTGATTGCCAGGCTGTGATCGAGCAGGCACACAACTGGAGCTGCTCCCCTAATGCCTCCACGAAACCTGGAACCGGGTGTAAGAATTGAAGAGCCTATCATAGGAATTTGTTAATTAGACGGTGAAGAGGCAGATTTTAATACATAATTCTTGAGACTTAAAATTTGTTTATAAAACATTATAAAAGAACAATAATAATACTTCTAATATCATTGGTCAAGCAAGAAGTGAACAAAGAAGCAAAGATAAGATAGAATATGTAGGCTTCGATACGCCGGCTTTGTCAAAGCGTCCTATCGGTAGAGGGTAGGGTTCAAACATTTCGCGGCTCTCTGCGAAGAATAGGTGCAGGGCATAGGATGTACAACTCTTTTAGGATCTAGGGCAATACTCCGAGAAGGCCCAAGCTAGCAGAAAGCTGGTGCAGGACCTTTTCAACAAAGGCGCAGCATGGATGGAAGAGTTGAAGACAGACCCCATGCTGCAATTGGCCGCAGGGAAGAGCCAACGCTGGCTTGAAGAGACAGGGACTTCAGTTTTCAGGTTTTGCGTGTTTTGGATATGACAGTACATGAAAAGTTGAAATGTAACAGAAGCTGAGATCGGGGTTCGAGCTACAGCTACGATGAACGCACTAAAAACACTCTTGGCCTGTGGAGCCATTGTTTACAGCTCGGGTGGCTCCATCTACCTCTCTGAACAAGTAATCTGTGGACCTTGTTAAGGAGCACCTGCTCGCACGTATGACTGCGAGGCAGTGCAAATGCCCGGCAAATGTCGTCGAATCTGAGGACCCTTGTACAAAAGGTGAAATCCCAAGCTGGCATTTGTCTGGTGAGAAGTCAGCAGCATGGCCGCACCGTTCAACTTGGGAGATGTGACTGCTTGTGTGCTTGTACTGCTTGACTTCTTCAGCTTCAGGATGTTTTAGCCGATCGAAGCTTATAGCCGAATATAGCCGCATGGTTTCGTTGCCCGCTTGTTTTCACGCTGGGCGGTCCGAAACGCATGGTGAGAATGTGAAAGTCTGTTGTCGGACATGGGTACAGCAGGAGGCCCAACATTGTTGAACTCGAAGTAAGCAAGAGGAGAGAGCTACACCACGTCGCAGTTCAGCAACGCCATGCTAGTAATGGCAGCTTTGGAGTGGAAACAGTAATAGTCGTCGTCATCATCATTGTCATGGTGGTGGCGGTAGTGGTAGTGGTGGTAGCAGCAGCAGCAGCTAGCGACCTGAAGAACAACAGAAGTCAAATTGAGGTTACACTAGAGAAGTGTCAGAGCTCGAGTCGGGCAAAGGCTCTTCTATGCCCAATTCTCACCCCGAACTGTCCAGCAGCCTGCAAAATCTGCCGAAGCCCAGAGTTCTTCCCTTTTTGCGTTTCGGAGTCAGACTTAAGGTCGCTAATGAGCACTGGCTTTACCACGGCACTTCTCTGGCTGGGGAGGAGGGGATCACGGAAGGACGCGTCCTCAGACTCCGCTCGTTCAAGCCCGTAGTACTGAAGCTATGGGCCATGGGTTGGTCGTCAACCATCGACTGCCGCATTGAAGCCAAGAACGCATTAATTAGGTTCCCAAGCAGGGCCGACGTATGTCTTTTTGCGTGTTTGGCAGGCTGAAGAAATTCGCTGCAACTGAAACAAAAACACCGCAGTAGCAGTAGCAGTTGCATTAGTCGTAGTAGTAGTAGTAGTAGTAGTAGTAGTAGTAGTAGCAGTAGCAGCAGCAGCAGCAGCAGCAGCGGAACTTTGCATCTCGACCACTGTGCTCAGTTCATTGTTGAGCTGGGGATGCGCCGTATACGGCTCAGCTGAAGCTTATGGGGGAAGGAACAAGGCAAAGATAAACCGCTGTCAGACATGACAACAGCAGTTCTTGATATTGCTTGCACACTGGGGTAGCCAAGTTTCCGAAAATCGAAAGTTTGCCGGTTGAGGCTCACTCTCCTTCTTGCTTTCCAGTTTCGGGAGCGTTGGCCTTCTAGCTGTTGTGTTTTCGGATGCCCACCGTGTCTTGCTCCGTGGAGATCTGTAGTGGCCTTTGGTCACTAGTCTTGTAGGGAACAACATACTAAGGCTCGTTGCATTGCTGGGCTTCGAAACCAAATTGCACGCATCGGGTCGGAGAGGGGTCGTTGTGATGGAAGAAAACCCAAGAACCTCAAGATACTCCCAAGCCATCACCCGCTCGAAGCCGGAGCCGCATTTGCAAGTGGGGGTTTCCGAAAATAAGGCCTAAATAGTAGGATCCTTATTTTAAGGACCCCCAAATAAGGTACCCCTTATTTTCGGAAACTCCCAAGTGGCCTTGAGTGTTTCACAGAACAGGAGACTTCCGCCTGAATCTGGCCGGGAGCAACGCCGGGACGCTTTACGGCCAGCTCTGTGTTGGATAGGTTAATTGGGAGTTTCCGAAAATTAGGGGTACCTTATTTTGGGGGTCCTTATAATAAGGATCCTATTATTTAGGGTACTATATTAGGGTCCCCTATTTTCGGAAACCCCCAATTGAGTCTTGTTCGACAGTCGCGTGCTGAGCTATCTAGCCAGATATTTGGGATCTATTCTACAGCTACAATCACACATGAATAAGTCGGGAGAACGAGTGCTCTAGAGACATCTTGCATCACGTCTTTACAGGTGGGAGCAAGTCCTAAGTGCTGATGAGGAGACTGAGGGGGGGGGGGCAAGCGCGACTGTGGCTGTGCGGAGACATGTGCACAAGTGCTTCACGAGGGAATGCCCACATCATTCACAACATCTTCAATCAACTTTTCAAGAGCAGAGTAACAGAGTCAAACACTGGGTTACAGAGATTTCGAAGAGTTTAAGAGCCTGCTCCATTTTGAATTCAATCGTTCAGAGATATCTCCGAAGCCGAATCCAATCTGACAATAGAGATCCAACAAAGTTGTATGTGACAAGTTTCTTCGCATAGGTATGTGTGTTCCGGCTTAAACGGTCTATGTGCTTGCTGGTATACACTCGAGCTCGCGGGGCTTCAAAGGGCCCAGGTGTTCTTTGAGCTTGCACAACTCCTGCAGGGAATGGTGTCTACCTCGCAGAGGCGCGAGTGTCGGCAGGAGAACTCCGAGCAGATGGATTTGCCAAGCACTCCTAAACTTCTGTCGGTCTTGCAAAGTTACAAAATATAGAACTCCTTTAGCTCTTACTCTGACGCTGGCCCCTATCTAGCTAAGATCCCCTGAAGCCTTGGTCCCCGAAGTGCGAAGCTTTAATAAGGGATATGGTATGCTTGTTTGTCTTGGAATCCGACGGGGGACGTAACCAGGGGAGACGAAAGTTAAGTACGAAAGTTAAGTTAGAGGTCGCAGAGCCAGGGCATTCATAATATCTTATGTTCCCTTTGTTTCTGTGATCATGGTGTCCACAATGCAAGAACCAGTTGCCCGGCCTTTGGACAAGTGCTGCAGGCTGTGTCGAAAAGCGACGAGTACACTACACCGCATAGCGACGGCCGCTCGGACGACATTCGAGAGACACCACCCTTTGAGAATTGCGTTTCGAAGGTGCCTGGTTTATTCCCCAACATAGACCACAAACAGAGCGGCATGGAACTAGTAGGAACAAGGATGTCCTTTCCGACGGGATCTGTCGGTGAAGGCGACTGACTTCACGCAGAAAGCAGACCGACAGAAGCTGGCCCCTGTCATGAAGACCGACCATCGTCCTGCAGAAGTTGATGCACTGTTTGCGGGCCGGAGATCTCCCCGGCTCGAGGCGCCACCTCAACATGCAGTGAGTGTTTATCTGCGCGAACCGGATACCGAGCGTATCGAAGGCATCGTTCCTCAGCACGACGGCTCCGTTCTGGCGCAGGAAGTTGGACACGGCAACGCCTTGTCACAGTCCAAGTCCCTGTGCCAGAACGGTCTCCGGAAGGTTTGCATTTCTGACCGTGCAGGATTTTGGCCCCTGCCCTACACGGCAACGTCTGGAAGTTGCGATGTCATTAAAAGTTTGCTTGGGAAGCGCGCTCAGAGGACCTGAAGGACGAGCCCCGCCTGGGAGTTCCGATCTGGATGTCAGTTTCAGGCGTGGCAGTGGCAAACAAAGACAAGGATACCAACGCAGTCTGCGGCTGCCGTGAACGCGGAGAGTGTCCACCTGCTCTGCGCCGCAGGCTGCAAGCTGAGGGGCGAAGAAGATTTTGGCTTTCACAGCAATGCATGTTTGCAGCAGGAAGCATGGGAAACGGATCCCAGCCGGCTAGGGGCAATCCTTGTGTCTTCTCATCCAGGCTTGCGCGGCTGCACAATTGGCAAACGCTCATCTATGCCGTGGGGTGAAGAGCTCTGCAGATATGGCCGCTTCGCTGTGAAGCGTGACCAGAGCTTGCTCGGCCTGATCTTCGTGTGCGATTTTGTGGCTTGCAGTAGCGGTTTGTCAATCTGAGTGGTGTCTCTTGTGGTGCCTACCACGTGCACAGTACCCCACTGATGCAGGCCGTCAAATTGGCTCGGTACAGGCCGCTGCATCCCTCATCGCGAACGGAGCCAACCAGCAGATCCAGAATTGCCGTGGATGCATGGCGCAGCGGACTGTGGGAAGGCTAGCGTCACCCCTGACTTCCTGCAGAAGGGCTTGGAAGGGGATCGATCCCAGTGCCAGCGGGTGACCGCACTTGCTGTCAAGGATGGCTTGATCGAGGTCGGCTTTTTGAGTTTGCTCGCTCGAGGCTCGCGGTGAACCGCACCTCTAAATTGGTTTCAGGCCAGCTCAGGAAAGGAAGTTCAGACATTTTCCATACGGCTGATGATAGAAATCCTGCATTACTACCCAGAATGAGGAATATACCATAGTTCTTCTAGTTTAGGGTCCTTAAGGGAATGCAGGGTCTATATCATCAACAGTAGTAGTTCATAGGGGGCATCCCATCAGCTGCTGTTGTGCAGTGCTGGGAAGACCTATCGCCGGCATGCGGCGCCTGTTGCAAAAGGCTAGGGTTGCTTACAGACTTTCAGCTGCGAGTGCCGTGGATTTAGAGGAGCTGGATCCAAAGTTCCGGCTGTACCGTGACCTGTGGGGGAGCGAAAAACCACGTCTCGATGCATTACCAACATACCCGCACGGTTTGTTTGACGGAACGGGCGGATGCAATGGGTGGCTTCCTTCAGAATCCTCGTTTGAAGGTGCTTTTGTTTTTTCGTCTGGTTTGTCATATCACAATGGCCGAAAGATGGCTGTATTCCACGCAAATCTTGAGTCCAAGTCCATTCAAGTTTGATGGGTTTGTCAAGGTCTTCGCAGCATCCTCATCTGCCTCAGCACTTTGGGGCGAGTGCTCCCCAGATGCAATAGAAGTTGACCAGTGTTGCTGTCAGCAATTCCGTACCTTCACGTTGTTTCTGACCTCGGCGCTACATGGGGTCTTGCCTGTCCACCAGATACGCTTTCAATATTCTGCTCTGAGCATTTGGAGGTGGCATGCGCTAGGCCAGAGGTCTAACTTTTTTCGGGAGGTAGGCAAACACTCCGCATAGGAGGTGGGAAGGAGCAGCGGACGCGAAGGAACATCGCCATTGCAACGAACATTCTCTGCAAATCCTGTCTTCAAGATGTTCATCTGGCTGCGATTTCAGCATTGTTTGCATACTGGGCCGTTTGTCAAAGCAGCATCCTTTCAGACAACATACAAGCCTGTAACCCAAGCGAAACAATTAGTCTGGCTGCGATAGGAACTACAATGATCAGAAACGCCCTGATGGTGATGAGCTTGCCGACTCCTGCAAAGAAGGCGTGGCAGCGTTGTTTTCTTCGAAGCTGAATTCAGAAACTTTAGGTTTTGCTGACTAATGCATTTCTGGTCATTCATGCAGAGGCTTTTCTTCTTTAACAGCAGAATTGGGACTTTCTTTGTCTGTGGAACAAAGCACTCATGCTCCCACGACAGATTTACAGGAAGAGACGCCGTCAGTTCCGACACCGCTGCAGCGTTTGCGGGATGGTTTTCACACAAGTTTCACCCAAGTTCATACAGTTGATGTGACGCATACGAGAAGAGCGCACTCGTGGTACACTAGGACTGGATTGTGTGCAGGCTCGGCTTTGGGAACATTGGGTGCATTTTCAAATGCTGTCACCTGCATGCAGGTGGCTTCCATAGCATCCTCGGAGATCGGGAGAAAATCCGCGGAACGCAGCGCCCTTACCAAGGAAGCAGCGCACATTTCAGAGTAGGTGAAGCGGTACTTCACCCGGCTAAGGTACCGTGAGATCGTGGTCTTCAATGAGAACCAAGTTTATCCTGCATATATCTGCCGGTATGAACGAGTTCTGAAGAAAGCATAGATAACCTTTGTCTTTCCCAGTTTGAAAGCTCGTTGGAGCTTGTTGGGTGTAGTGTAAAATACGTTCAGGCGCGAGACAAAAATTGTCTTGACCGCCCTACTGCCACGCTGCAGAATGCAAAGAAAAACTCTGCTAACACAAACATGTGGTGACATAGTTGTTTTGCCAAAAATTCCGCAAGTTGTGCGATCCCCATATTGTGAAATTATATACCAGCATGCCATGCACAACAACGGGACCGAACATGTCGAGAAGTCTTCGTGTAGGGCAAAGCCCGAATCCCAACCGAACATGCGAGCGAATCTTGC